TATATTTAATAACACATAATTATTTAACTAGGTAGAACGTGGAATTGACAAGTTGTCAAATGAACGATCCAGAAATTTACGTTGATTGAACTCAGAAGCAAAAAAATGGCCTAGTAGGGTGAAAAAGGAGAAAGATTAACAGTGACAGGCGTATCAAACAAAAGACGCACCCTGATTCAAAAACAGTATAAATCCTTGAATTCGGTCCGACTACGACGTGACGTAGATGTGGCGATATCTAGACGGTACACCCATTAGTTTTCTCCCAATTCAATAAAAAAAGGCACAAAACGCAAACTTGTACATACCGAAACGGATTCGTTCAACGACGAGGGCATTCGTTCCTAGGATTTTATGTAATAAAAAAGGAGCTACCCTACAATACTAAGATCATGATGAAGAAAGGTATCGGACGGAAAACTATGTTTGGCCACCGCAGCTGGCTCCTTTGACCGAATAATGTTTGGTAGAGTGTCAACAACATGGGGGTTTAGTAGTTTGTCTTCTGGCACGATTAAGTCAACAATGCTTAAAACTAAGGATCCGTCGTTTCCACCGGTAGCCTAAATAAACATTCAAGGTAATAAAATGTGACATACAATTTGTAACTTTGCACCTTTATCACATAAGCAGGCGTCCAAACACCATATACTCCGTCCCCTGTGAACCGCCTTCAAAACAACCGGGTTCGGATTATCGGAAGTAGCCAAATCGGGCCAATAGTACAAAACTAATGAACAGTCCTTTTGGATATAAGCATTAAGAACACTGCGCACCTCACCAGCAGCAATTAGTCCAAATTCACTTAAATTAACACGCCAGATCCGGGACTCGAATAAAAGGGACTCCGTGCGAGGATCGTGAGCCTCGAGGCGGTAGAGGACATTCCAATTAGAAAAACTTGAATGAAACTCATTACAAGAGTCTTCATGCTTGGAAAGCCATACAACTACAGACCGATCCTCTGCAGCTGAGGCCAAAAGATAGCCATTGGAATGAGAGCGTTCAAATGCGTCAACAGCAAAAATAATTCCCTTAGAGATTATCAACAGCACAAAACACTAACTTTTTGGACTCCAAAGCAAGAGGATAGAAGAACACAGTCATTGGACTCCGAAGGCACTGTAGAAGAAAGCGGTGCAAACAACCAGACTGAAATTCGGTTTGATGTTCCACCGATACAAACAGGTACAGAACCGCGACTGCAAATGCAGGCAGCGAACTGAATGCAATAGAGCATTGAACAATTCGGAATACAAGCTGTTTGTAAAAGCAGAGGAGCTTTGCCACCGTCTTTTTGAAGACTGTAGACTTTTGAATGACCGCTGATTGAAACTGCTAAAAGGAATAAGTCATCATTCTACAAAGTGAATCCGTAAACTGAGTGCATCTCGTTACCTTATAATACACACAGGCACCACAAATAAATTGTACGGTAGGCAAGGAAGCTAGTGTTTTCATGTCCATGCCATTTTTAGCTATGGAAACAACCACACATAATCTGTTCCCATATATGGTTGCGTGTCTGGGTTGAAAGGACCTGGGTGGATCCGAAGGAAGGGATCTTTGGCATGTGCATTTGACTTTTCGAGGGCAAGACATCATCCCATAGATTGATTGGTTGGGTGACACTGAAAACTGAGGCCGGATGACATTTTCCTTAATGTGGAATGTGCAGATTTGGGTCCCAGAAGCTATCAAAGGAAATAATTGATGGGATAAAATATCATACCATACAATAAAGTGTCATCCGAAATATAAAAAAGAGCGTTGATCGGTGTCTGATGCCAAATAAGGGTTTGCATTAAACCAATACTAAGGACCTGTCTACAATTATGTACACTAGAGACGAAAGTCAGACAATCCACATTCACAGATAAATAACATATTAGTGTGGGGGCGAGATTAAGGATAACAGTTAGGTCAGTAACTAAAGCATGACTGAATAAAGTATGCTCTCACATTAGACAGGAGTACTTTTAGACACCTTTAATTTCCAAAAATACAGAAAAGTTATGCTTTTATTCGTAATTCATTATCTTATATAAGCCAGCATATTTTGATTACACTGACATTGCTTCGGTTTTTCATGTGTGTATGGTTCGTGGTACCACGAAACAAAGCATTTGCTGGTCGAAAACTAAGTTGGTTGTTTTATACACAATTTATTGCTTTATCCGGTCTGGCGTCATCCTGAGGTAGTTATAAATATCTGAAAGAAGTTTGTGCGTGTCTGCTTCCTTAATATGCACTTTTGTTTTAGCAGACGCCTGCAAAGCTATATTGTAGTGACTTTTATTTCCTAAGATAAATCTAAAAGGCATTTCATTCGTGATAGTTAGAGACTGACGTTTTAAGTTTTGGCCAAGGAAAATGAGAGCAATCAAGGATAATAATTTTCGGGTGTGGGGAATAGTCAGCGGAGAACCAGGTGTATTAGTTTACTAAGTTCCTCCTCTAAATGATTAATATAATTTGGATGTTCGGACATGATTCTTAGAATTTTAATAATAAGAATTGGCTTGATTGTTTGAGTGCTTTTCCATCACATGTTTCAGCTAAGAAACAACCTTGGTCTTCCTGTTTAATTAGGTCTTTTTCTAATAGACTAAAAAGTAAAGCTCTCTTTTAACAGATGGAGACACTATGAGATGTTTGACAGGGTCAACCTTGATTGTTGATATGTTTTAATAAGCACTTGGACTAAGGGAGGTAAAGTGCTATTCAAACGGATTCTATAACCAATATTTGAACGCCGGATTGAATATATTAAAAAATTTTGAATAACCCAACGGTTATATTGGTCTCGTAACAGTATGCCTTGAAATTACAGCTGCCTATGTAAATGAAGTGTCAGTCTAAAGGTACAAAAGGATATCCGATGATATAAAAATATATGCAGCGTTCCTTTAGTTGGAACTTTCATTATAATTGCAAGTTCGTCTAATTTTTCTGAGCTCTTTCCGTAAAGAGTATTTACGGATGTAGCGTATCTAGTCCTAACCAAAAAAGGCCAATTTTATGAAAAATGTTTGAAGGTATACTTGATTTGTCCACCGTTGTAATTCCGGCTTTTTCATTAGAATATATGTCTTAATTAAGATCCCTTCTGAAGCCGTACTCATAATTGAGCCTGTTTTTGGTCACTTTTATTTAATAATGGGAATTTTTCACTGGATAGCGTAATCCTGGCCAATCCGATATGAGAAAATGAACGCTAAGAGTATACTTGGGGTGATTTTATGTAATGTTGGGTTGATGAATGACCCGACGTCATAGGTCGCCTACGAATGGGTAACCAAAAAAATTAGCCAAAAGCAAATGTATATTATATCTTTTAACCTAGTCGTGAAGTTGCAAACCGAATCTTAGTTGCACGTTGAAAGAAGAGAAAAGACTTTTGTTCATGAATAGGATCTGCTTTATTTGTCAACCTGATGTCAGAATGGAATGATTGCGATTAAGAAAAATGCATTTTCGAAGACACTGATTTGTTGTAAAATGCTGCTGCATGAGGTAAGCAAAGAAAACATTTGTCAGAGTAGCCGACATAGACTTAATTGTTTATTTACTTTATGAACTCTGTGTGTTATAAAAGGTCCTATTTAACTCATTACGGCTGGTGGCCAATACAGACCTGGATCTTGTGGCTGCGTTTGTGGCGTCAGCGTCAATGGACAGAAATTCACAATTCTAACAACAGGTATGTGTGTTCATGGGTACGTCAACATCGCCGTTTCTTAGTCGCCCTATTTGTTTTTCTCGGTGGTGTACAGTATTTAACCAAGTCTCTGTAATTGGTGACGTCGGTAAGCAGTATTGAACAAGTTATGGACCAAAATAGTTTAGAAGTGCCAAGTTTAGTCATAAATAACATCAGACTTGTTGATTGCCAAAGTACTTCGTGGCCCAACTTATCGCTTAGCAATTACTGCTAAAAAGCAAGTTATTCAATTTCAGATCACGCGGGGCTTTGGCAAGAACGCTAAGAAAAAAGGACTAAGCAAACATCAGTTTTAAAAATAATTACATTACCTATGTACCCTCTTATTGGTCGGCTGGCTTGAAAGAACAAATTTCATTAATATGCATTGGATACTATGACTAAATCAATGTGGAGCAAAATTTTGTTTTTTTGACCAAGTTCAAGCCAGAAAAATAGCTCATTTTCTGGACGTAAGCCATGACTTGTTTTACTCTACCTGCAAACTTCGAAATATCAAGTTCTGAAATCATTGCCGTCAGAGATGAGTGCTGGATTGCTATGTGACAAAAAACTGAGTACCCATGGTAAACACAAGTATGAATCACTGAACTATGACCTTTTCTTTATTCCCTTACTAACAGTTCATTGAGTTGTAAGTTATGAAGAATTTTAAAAGTTTTTCACAATTATTTATATTTTAAGTAGGACTTACATTTTAAACATAATGCAATAAAGTTTTCCAATCAGTCAGAAGCACTGTATAATGACATATACTGATGCATAATTTTGCAATTGCATCTTTTGCTTTAAAACATTTAGGTCGGAAAGGTACAGTGATAATACATTCGTAAAACGTGTTTTGATATTATTAGAACTATGTGACCTGAAATTAGGCGTTTAATATTTAACATATAGGTTCGTCAGAAGCTTAAATCCATTCACGCGTAGCTGTAAAATACCAATATATTGTTAAGCAAATTGTTGCCAATTATCAAAAGCTCAAGCCTAAAGGAGGCTAATTTATGCATTCGTTAAGGAGTACTGGCAACAAAAAAGATCTAATTACAGTGCTACTTAAGAGATATAACTGATTACCATAATCAGTTTTTCTGAATTGTTTATAGCTTTATAAATTACTCCGCCTCATTCAATAACTTCATCAGCTGTTTGCCAGGGTATTTCAATGGATGACAGCAGTTGTTGTAAAATGTACGAGCTATTTCTATTTATTTACTTTCAGATTAATTTGTGGGGATGTATGCGGAAAGATCAAGAGTCTTTATAATAGGATTAGCAAGGTGTTGAATGCGGCGGGCAGATTCGAGGTATTCACGTTACAACTCTTACGTCTTAGGCCCTGTTTTGTATTGGTGACTTTTTTGGTGAAAATTGTGAAGAGTTTGAGTATATCAGCGAAAATCCATCTCTTAGTATGAACATTTAAGACCCTTATGCTTTTAGTTCCTATCCCAACTTATATATTGTGTCCTACCACTTCAACATCATTGAGATTCATAACTGATTTGAGTGGCTGCGAGTTGTGCCCAAACCTGAAGTACCTAGGTGCGTTTATATTACAATATATCATATCCTAAAAGGACAACAAGGAACATACACAACTATATCTGGTCTTCGTATCGTTTACGTGAATGTCAGTCCAGATATTGAGGCGGACTCGGACACCTGGATTACTGAGTTTCCGACATTAGATGCAGACCCTTCATTTAATGGCGTCGACTTGTTACTAACGTGTCAATGGCCCAAATTCGTTGTTCCTTCAGATGACCCTATTTCAACGAAGGTAGATGATAAGGCTTCAGTGTGCGTCGCCCATATTGCCAAGTCTGTAAAGCCACGATATCATTTCGCTGCAACAAATGGAATATTTTATGAACGAAAGCCATATAGGTTAGTGGAATTTTAATTGATTAAACTATGTTAGCAATTGGTGTTTATACCGATTAAGAGCAGTTGTTACATGCAGTATCGGCCACTCGTCGGCTATTCTTCTTAATTGATACAATTTTGCATTAAACCGTTTTGGAGGTGCTAAACCGACAACTGAGATGAGTTCTGTTTACTTTGTAGAAATCACCGG